TGGGTTGGGCGTCCAACTTCGACTCCGTTCGCATGATCTCAGGGTCCATATGTGTCCGAGCCCCACGTCGGGCTCATCGATTCTGGAGCTTAAAACTTTGGATTCTGTGTCTCCTCTCTCTGCCCTTCCCTGTCAAACCCCTGCCTCATGGGATCCTAGGCTCTCGGGCACCTTCATTTTCTGAGAGGCAGGGGCAAAGGGTGCTGCCTCCCACACCCCTCACAGACTGCGGTGCTGGGGGCCTCGCCCAGCGGACCCCCGTCAGTGCCTTTCGCCAAACTCAACCCTAAGGAAGCAAAAGCTCCTTTCCCTACTCAGAAACCCCAGCATAGCCCACAGCCCCCCCAGGTGTGCCCAGGTATCAGAGAGCACCGCCCCCAGGGTCACTCGGGAACCCCCTGGCAGTGTGGGGATGGTGCTAGGGACCAGATCACAGCCCAGGGCTGCTCATCCTTCTGCCCTAGGAGGGTGGGCAGGAAAGCCCGCGGGACCGAAAACCTGCCCAATCACCCTTTTCCGGGTCCTGAGAGACAGATTAGGATCAGGCAAAGTGGGTCTGGGAGGGGCTTTTCAGGCAGGCCTGTTTGCATAGAACACTGTGGCCTGTCACCTCCTTCCTGCTGGGCAGGGCTGTCACCATGTGCAGCTGACGCTACCCTCCCAGCAGAGACCAGGAAATTAGGGAGCAGGGGCTTTGGTGGTGGGAATTATACATGCCCACCGTGGATGGTAAGGGTCCTCAGATGGCAGACGAGGGTGCCTGAAGTCCTGAGACCACTCACAGGAAACGTCCACAACTTCCTTACAGAGGCATCTCAGCACTGAGCTCCTCTACTTACGAGCTGTGTGACTCAGGCACAGGTACACGACCTCTCTGAGCCTCCCGTCTGTAAAATGGGGAGAACAGGTGTTCCTACCACTGCTTCCTGTGGGGTTTTTATGAGGCTCAAGTAACATGCTCCGGCTACGCAGCACAGAAAACGTGCTCAGATAATAACAGCTTACACCGGTGAGCAATTCCTACGAGCCAGGCCCCAGATAAATTCTTTCCCGGGAATATGTACACCCTCTGGAGGGAAACAGTATTAACAACAACGGGTCTCACGTACACCATGCTTCATGGCGTATAAAGAGAACTTTGGTAGTCCTGGGGTGCCTGGGTGGCTCAGTTGGTTAAGCCTCCGATCTTTAGTTTGAGCCCCACATTGGGCTCTGTGCTGACCGCTCAGAGCCTGGACCCTGCTTCAGATTCTGTCTGTCTCTCTCTCTCTGCCCCTTCCTCCCTCCCTCCCCCTCCCTCTCAAAAATAAACATTAAAAACAATTTTAAAGAATTTTGGTAGTTCTTATACTCACTTTTGCCTCATTACTTTGGTCTCATTCATTCATTCATTCATTCATTTCATTCAACCGACCAGTTGTACCCCTGAGCATCTAGAACGTTACCAGCCCTGAACTGAGCACTAGGCCCAAGAAAAAAAGCCCCAGTTCCCGCCCTGCACGGGGCCAGCTGTCTATTAGGGGCACAGTTGCAATTCTGTAAGTGGCAGGTTGGGGCACCCCCAGGAGGAGGCCATGGGAGGACAGGAGGTAGAGGGGTTACCCTGCAGGACGTGGTGTCCACACTGAGACCTCAGCAAAGCAAAAGCCAGCATCTAAAGACCTTGGCGGACCCCAGCTAGAGTACGGATGGCACCTTAAAGGCACAGGGGAGCCCCAAAAGCTGGAGCAAGGGCTGCTCACTGGGTCTCGGCAGATGCGCACAGGGTGAGGTGTGCGGTGGTCCTGGGGGTGGGCAGGCAGAGCCGAGGGCTCGTATTCCCACGCCCTGGCCTAGCCCACGAGTGGGAGGTCGGAGTCTCCGTGCCTGAGAGGGTGCAGCCTCCACCCATAGAACCCGGGGGGCCCACTGGGCACCATCCTCCGTGCTGGGGAGGCCGACCTGCCCACGACCACCCATGCTTGTTGGAAATGCAGGGTCTCGGGCCCGGCTCCAGACCCGTGAATCAAATCCTGCCTTTGAACCAGGCTCCCAGGTGATTCACACGCACATTCACAGCCAGCGTCCCACAGGGAGGCGAGCTGGAGTCACCCCATGCGGCTACAGAGAAGATGTGCGGGGCCCAGGGAGCCTGACGGGGCCCTGACCGGGTCGGGGGCATCGTCCAGGCAGACTTGGCTGAAGAAACGTTGGTAAGGCCCAACAGCCGGGACGGGTTTAGTCAGAGGGATGTGAGGCCAGGGAGGGAGGCCACGGGCCTGAGGGGAGTGGAGGAGGTCGGGAATACCACACAGACTGACGTCTGAGGCCAGGGGGCGGGAGAGCGGGTCAGTGGCAGAGAGAAAGGCAGCTGCACTTGCTGAGTGAGCACTTAACTGTGCCCCGGGGCACCGTGCTGGCCGCCCGGGGGCCCTGCGACCCCCAGTGAAATGCAGAGTCTCAGGCCCCACCCACCTGCTGAGGCCGAGCCTGCATTAGGAACATTCTCGAGTGATCCACTCACACGCTCAAGCTGGGAAAGAATGTGTGCAGGTCACAGTGTTTCAGTTCGTCCTTGCAGAGGCCCCGGAGGGGCCGCTGGGCAACACCGGGCTCGGATGCTAGAACCTCGAAGTGGGAGGGGCTCCGAGGGCCTCACAGCCCCCTCCCCACACAGCACCTGTGCTCCCGCCTCCACTCCCGCCCCACAGTCAGACATCTGCTAACAGGCATCTCAAGGTGGGTCCCCGAGACCTCACCAACCGTGGGGAGGATGGCAGCCGGGCTGCCCAACCGGCTCAAAGTGGGATCTTCCCGCATGGCACCTGCTTACTTTCCGCACCCAAATCACTTTACGGATGAGGACGGAGGCTCAGAGACAGAGAGCAACTAACGCAAACACACACAGCCCCTCCTATACAGGAGGCCGATGCAAACGGTTTCTCAAGTCTGGGTTTTTGCCTCTGTTTCCCCCAAGTCTGGAAATTAAACACACACGGCATGGGAACTTAAAACCGCTCAAGAGGCAAGACCCAGAGACCCCTGACTAGAGCAGCTTCTTACGGGGCTTACTGGAAAACTATCTTGAGAAAGGGGGCCCCGCCTTCACACACCACCCACTGTAGGCTGCATCCAGCAGCACAGGTACGAAGCACCTGGTACAGAGCACATGCCCAGAAGCTCCTGAAGGAAGGGGGGTGCCCTTGACACTTCCAGGTTCCAACATCCAGGTGCACAGATGCGGCCTCTCCTTAGACTCCCAGGTGTCCGGCCAAGGTGTGCCCACCCAGCCCTGGGAAAGCACTCCAGTCTCCACCCCGGCTGATGGCCCAGCCCCGCTCCGTCACTGCTCTGGGAAAAACCTATTTGCATCTCTAGCCCTGGCCACAGTGACCGGCTCCGACTTGGACATGGAACGCTCTCGGAGCCGATGAGAAGCCAGGTGACTTTCCCCTGGGCTCACTCCCTCTCCTTCACGGGGCTTACCCAGGTGTCACGGACAGAATTGACCACAACACTCCTAACTGGCTTTAATTCTGCCTTGGATACAATCAAACTGAGACAGGAGGCCACAGGAACCAAGAGATCACCAGAATCTAAGCTCTGGAAATGGATGCTTTGAAACCATGACGCGTGGGATTGACAACATGCTCTTGTTTAGACAGACCAAGGAAAGTGATCATTGTTTCTGTCAATTTCCATAAAGCTTAGGTGAAATTTTAGTCTGTTGGCTGAGAAGAAGGACGTTTCCCTGGGTTATTAAAGGTTATTAAGTATTATTTTTAAATTTTAATATTTTTAATATTATTAAATTATTATTAAATACTATTAAATGTTGGAAGTTCAAAGACTGTAACCTTACAACCTTGCATATTTGTTTTAGGAAACTCCATCTGTTTCAAAGTCTGTGGTAGAACGCTGTTTACTGTGCGTCGGGGACCCTGCTTGCTACACTTCAACTCGAAGCTTCCTCCCCCCCAACTGTGCAACGACCAAACATGCTAACTAGGATCGCTCACTAACCTAGTTCTATAGAACTCAACCAGCATGGAAGACTGAACACACTCTCTCTTGGGGGAAGGAGGACAGTTTAGGGCATTGCTCCTCATAAAGAAATAACCTGGGGCGCCTGGGTGGCTGAGTCGGTTGGGTGTCTGACTTTGGCCCAGGTCATGATCTCACAGTTTGTGAGTTCGAGCCCCGCGTCGGGCTCTGTGCTGACAGCTCAGAGCCTGGAGCCTGCTTCAGGTGCTGTGTCTCCCTCTCTCTCTGCCCCTCCCCAGCTCATGCTCATACTCTGTCAAAAATAAACTTAAAAACAAATTAAAAAAAAAAAAAAGAGAATGAACCTACCCAGCTTCTAAAAGATCAACATTAAACATGCAATGTAGGGGGGCACCTGGGTGGCTCAGTCGGGTAAGCATCTGACTTTAGCTCAGGTCATGATCTTACGGCTTGTGAGTTCAAGCCCCGAGTCGGGCTCCGTGCTGACAGCTCAGAGACTGCAGCCTGCTTCCGATTCTGTGTCTCCCTCTGTCTCTGCCCCTCCCCCACTCACACTCTGTCCCTCAAAAATAAATACTAAAAAAAAATTTTTTAAAGGCAATGTAGGATGGCCAGTCCGACTTCTGTCAAGAAATCAGTCTGCTGCCCGCCATCTTGCCTGAGGCCGGAACTAACAACAGAGAGGAAGCAGAGTGAAGAGACCTTCAACGAGGTCTTCAAGTTACGTATACCTGAGATTCTAAGCACAGAGGCCAGGAGCATGTCCCATTTGAGGAAGCCAGGGCAGGGTACACGTGGCTGACTGGCCCCCTGTCTTCACTGTAGACAGACATTCCTGATCCCAACAAGTATGGCTCTAGAACATCTTATCTAGAGGGACCAAAAGAATGACAACTGCAAGTTTGCCACAGGAAATGGGGCCACCCAGGGGCTCTTCCAGAGTCATGCTGAACTCAGGGAAAGAGACAGAAGAGAAATCCTCCAGGGCCATGGAGCTGCCCTGCAGCAGATCTTACCGAATGGTGGGCTGGTCTCCACTCAGCTGCTTAAACCTCCGGTGGAGCTGCTCGATCTGGTCTGAGGAGACTGGGAAACAGGGGAGGGAGGGAGAGAAAGAGAGAGAGAAGACATCACTGACCGCTGAGCTTGAGCCACCAGCAGGAGGCTGGTGACATTCTCCCACACTTCCCAGGCGGGCAACACCAACCAGCACCAGACGAAGAAACCGACAAAGGGCGTCCCTTTCTTCCTGGCAGTGCACCCCTGGGGTCATTACCTCCGATCCCCCGGCAAGATAGCCTGTGCTACGAACGGCAGCTGCCGGGACAGCACGAAAGTGAACCAGCTCATTTTCCCCTTCCCCCTAAAGGGATCACATCCGTGTGACTTCTTCCCCTCCTGCTCCCGAAGACAGGGGTTTTTCTAGCTGAGCAAGGGGCTTCATACGGTCACGTACGGAGAGACAGAGGGGCAGGGCAAAGGGGTTGGGGCTGCTGCTGGAAGTCACTTGGGAGACACGTAGTAGGACGCAGAAGGAGAATCTGGTGCAGCAAGGGGATTGGAAGGAGAAGAAAGAGAATTTTGATCATTGCGCTGTGGAGGACGTATTTAGATCTTCCCAGTAGTTCTAGAAAACCTTAAGTACAGTTTTTCATAATTACCATTTCGGGCTGGCAGGCCGCTGTGTCTTCCCCGGTAAGAGGGGGCCTTGCACGTTCCGGGTTTCATAAGGGCTCCGCCCCCACGAGGGCCTGTTTCATGAAGCACACAGTATGGCACCCGGACCTGCATTCTCTCCCCTCATCCTCGACACATCCTGCATAAGGGAGCAGATGTGCTTTTCTCTGTGGGATAATTTGCAAACTGCAGCTCAGAGCACTCGAGACCGCACGACCGGTCCATCTCCTGACCCCGCCTTCAACCTGCCTTCACTCGGTATCGCCTGCCCGCCCACATATCCTGGTGCTCCAAGGCCTTGAGGGCCGGTTCCGCGGACTATACATGGTTCAGGCAAAACTTTCCAAACAGGGGCTGGGCTGAGAAACAGCCATCCCCCCTCCCCCCGGCTCCTCCCGGCATTTCCCATGCCCTATTATAAATGTCTTTTCTTGTTCCAGAGACAGCTAATTTCTGGGACCAGCTGGTCATCTCATTTGCTGTTGGGTTTTTTCCAAGTATTAAAAGAAAAAAATATTTTTTTTTATTTGAGAGAGAGAGAGCGAGCACGAGGGGGGAAAGGGGCAGAGGGAGAGAGAATCCCAGGCAGTCTCCACGCTCAGCGTGGAGCCCAACGTGGGGCTCGATCCCACGACCCTGGGATCATGACCTGAGCCGAAATCAAGAGTCAGACACTCAGCCGACTGAGCCACCTAGGCACCCCCTTTTTAAGTAATTTAAGTAATCTCTATACCCAATGCAGGGTTCAAACTACAACCCCCAGATCAAGAGTCACATGCTCCACCGACTGAGCTAGCCAGGTGTCCTCCTCATCTTTTTTTGGGGGGGGTGGGGTGGGGGGGGTCTCAGGCTCAGGTTGTATCACTTTAAGAATACGTAGCTCAAGGGCTCCTGGGTGGCTCAGTCAGTTGAGCGTCTGACTTTGGCCCAGGTCATGATCTCACGGTTTGTGAATTCGAGCCCCACATCGGGCTCACTGCTGTCCGCGCAGAGCCTGCTTCAGATCCTCTGTCCCCCTCTCTCTGCCCCTCCCCTGCTTGTGCTCTTCCCAAAGTAAATAAGTATTTTTTAAAAAAAGAATCTATAGCTCAGAATTCTCCAGCCTCCCTAGAAGCTGTTGGTGAGGAAATACCCCTTAGGACGGCCAACAGCTGTGAAGGGTTCTCCATGTACCAGAGGCGCATCTCCACACATTAGTGCACCTGTTCCCCATGGCACCCTGGGATAGGGCTCTATTCCCATTACAGATGTAGAAACTGACTCTTGGAAAAGTGGGATGACCGTGAGGGGCAATAACCACCTTTCTGGAGGAGGACATGGCCATTCCTATCATGAGTGTATCAGCAAGGACATCCGAATACTCTACAGGGCTGAGCGATTGCAGTCCTGGGTACACATCCAACAGAAATGCACACTTGCGCTCATCAGAAGGAGAGGTTCACAGCAGTGCGGTTCCAACAGCCCTAGACTGGAACCTATCCAAATGCCCGACAACGGCAGAATCAAGTGTTGAGGTGCAGTCTACTCAAGCAATGGAATAGTATATGGCAAGGAAAAGAAGTCAGATGCAAAAGAGCAAGTACGTTAGGATTCCATTTAAATGGAGCTCGAAAACGGGTAAAAACTCCTCTGTAGTGTCAGAAGTCGGGATGGAAAGGCTGCGCACGGTAAGATTCTACTATAGGACCTCCTGGAAAAGGCAAAACCGCAAAGACACGAGAAAGGTCTCCGTGTCCGAGTCTGGGGATGAGGAATGAACAGGCAGAGCACAGAGGGTTTCTGGGGCAGTTAAACTATCCTGTGGGTCCCATCATGATGGACACACGTCGCTGAACATACGCCCAAACCTGCAGAAGGTGCACCACCACAGGTGAACCCTAATGTGAACAATGGACTCCGGGCGATAATGAAGTGTCGATACAGGTTCATCGACTGTATCAAACGTACCACACTGGTGGGGGCCACGGATAAGGCGGGAGGCTATGGCACGTGTCGGGGTGAGGGCATAGGCGAAAACTAACTTCCTCTGAATTTTGCTATGAACCTATCTAAAACTTGTCTGATAATAGAAATGACAAGGTGGTGCCTGGGTGGCACAGAGAGTTGAGTGTCCGACCCTTGATATCGGCTCGGGTCATGATCCCAGGGTCATGGGAGCAAGCCCCACGTCAGGCTCCACATAGGGGTGAGCATGGGGCCTGCTGGAGATTCTCTCTCTCTCTCTCTCTCTCTCTCTCTCTCTCTCTCCCCCTCCCCCACTCATGCACTCTCTAAAAGAAAAAAAAGACTTTAAAAAATATAATAAAAATGATGATGATGTTGTCTTATTTTTTTAAAAAAGAGAAGTCAGAAGTGGTTGCTCCCGAACGGGGAGTACTGATTTGAATGGGGCGTGAGGGGCGCCTCTGGGTAGTGGGAATATTCTATTTCTTCATCCAGGTTCAGGTTACACACACGTGTGCTCAGCAAGGACATGGAACTCTATGCTCACAGGTGATGTACTTTTCTGTACCTGATATTACGATAAAAGTTTTACCTGAAAATTTCAGTGATTCTACCTGGCAGGAAAAAATAAATCCAACGAGTACAAAAGACAAATACATAAATGTGTCCACCCGTGGATTCTTAACAGCTTAAAAAACGGACTCAACCGAAGTGCTCACCCAAAGCAGATTGGTCAAATATTTTACGGAATGCTTAGCCAATTAAAAAAAAAAAAAAAAGCAAGCTGCTTTTGAGGAGTGACAGTTATATATCGGACATGAAAATACGTTCCACAGAGAATGTTTAAAAGTCAGGGCGCCTGGGTAGCTCAGCTGAGGGTCCCACTCTTGATATCAGCTCAAGTCATGATCTCATGGTTTGTGAGTTCGAGCCCTGTCAATGCAAGGCCTGCTTGGGATTGTGTGTGTGTCTCTTTCTCTCTCTCTCTCTCTCTCTCTCAAAATGAACTTTAAAAATGTTTAAAACAGCTTGCTATGGGGTGCCTGGCTGGCTCAGCGGGCAGAGCCTGCCCCTCTCAGTCTTGGGGTTGTGAGGTCAAGCCCCACACTGGGCATGGACCTTACTTAAAACACAACCGCCTGCTACAAAAATAGCATGACCTCATGCTGGGGAAAACATGTAGATATACACAAATGTATAGAAGTAATGAAAGAAAATCCGGACTCCCTTTCCCCAAAATAATAATAGCAATTGTCTTTCTCAGTAGAGGGATTAAAGGCTTTGTTTTAGTTTAATTCATCTATATCTTCTAAATTTCCTCTAATACACAATGCATATTTATTAGTCATGTAATGAATATTTTAGGCACACAACATGGTACCACATGGGACAGCCGAAGGATCTCGAAAATATTGCTATTGATGAATCATCTGTTAGCTGAGTACCATGTCCTGGGCACACGTGGTCCTATTTAACCCTTACCATGACTGTATAATGGAAGGACTGCTCCAGAAGAGCAAACTGAGGATCTGAGGGGTTAGGTGACTTGAAGGTCAGGCCCTAAACTTGAAAGGGAGACCCAGGATTTAAGCTCAGTTTGTCTGGCAGAACGTGTGCGGTTTTATGCTTGTGGGTTACCGATCAAAGGCAGCCCAGCTCTCAACCGCAGGTCAAAAAAACCCCCAAAAACAAAAACACAAAAAACAAAAGCACACGGACGAGAAATAACCATAGAAATTGCAGCTACACGTGTGCTCCTAACATTGCATGAATCCATTTATAGGAGATGCTCAGGTAGGCAAATCCAAACTAGACCAGGGCTTGCCTGGGGCTAGGCAAGGATGGGGAGTCATGCTGATAGGTACAGAGCCTCTTGGGGGAGGGTGGGGGGAGGGGAGGAAAATGTTCCAAAGTTAGATTGTGAGGGACGCCCAGCCCTGTGATTATACGAAAACCCGAGTACACTTTGAATGGGTGAGATGTAGGGAACGTGTTACGTCTCAAAAGCGCCATCAGGAAAATGAATTACGTGCCTAATCCCGGGAACCACAGCAGTCCACGTCAACTGAGCGCTGACTGTGTCAAGGGCACTGTGTCAGCCCTACCCACACACCCTCTCGTCAATCCTATCGGCTAGGGATGCTGTGTACCCCCATTCTAGAGACGGGAACATCGAGACGTGCCCACGCTCACACAGACAAGAGGTGGTGGGCACGCCAGAAATCAGAGACCAGGTTCGTCCAATGAAATTCCGGCGAATTGCATCCAAAGCGCACGCACGGGTGCCCACATCCTTCCCTGTCGCGCGTGACCGAAAGCAGAGGGATGAGGAAAACAGCCTCCCATCTCTGGTCCCCCGTCTTCGGCACCCAAATCCCCTGAGCTAAGAGCTCGGAGCTCAACTCGGGGAAGCCTCCCTGGGCTCAGGGACTGGGAGAAGGAACATCCGAGGCCTCACGAACTGACTTCCGAAGACCTCACGCGCTCTCAGGTCCCTGGGGTCCCCCAGAGGATGTGTCCTGTGGGCACCTACACCTGTGTGCAGAGCGCCCTCGGGGGCTCCAAGGACGGAAGCTCTTCTAGTCTCCCTGCTCCTCCCTCAGCCCTTCTCCAGGTCCCCATGCGGTCACGGGTGCCATGGAGACAAGAGGCAGAGTCACTTGGGTGCCTGGCACGTTGACCTCGTTATCTTTGGTTTTAGATTTCAGCCTGAGGGTTGAGGTCGCACCCTTCCACAGGCTGGTGGGAGTTTAACTGGCCCAATCTGTGTGTGTGTGTGTGTGTGTGTGTGTGTGTGTGTGTGCGCGCGCGCGCGTGTAGTCCAAGCTGGGACCGGAGGTGTGAAATTGTGTAAAATACACACCAGCTTCCAAAGACTTAGTACAAAAAAGAATGCACACAGTCTCCATAATTTTTATATTGGTCACACGTTGAAATATTTTAGAAGTAAAATATTAAAATTAACTGTATCTTGTTTCTTTTCTAAACATGGCTACTACAGGGGCGGTGCCTGGGTGGCTCAATTAAGCGGCCGACTTCGGCTTAGGTCATGATCTCTCGGTTCGTGGGTTCGAGCCCCGCGTCGGGCTCTGTGCTGTCGGCTTGGAGCCTGGCGCCTGCTTCGGATTCTGCGTCTCCCCGTCTCTCTGCCCCTCCCCCCGGCTCATGCTTTCCCTCAAAAATAAACATTAAAAAAAATTTTTTTAAGCATGGCTACTAGAAAACGTAGAATTACATATGTAGCTTCTGAAAACATTTAGAATTATTCCGCCTTGCATTATA